TACATGTACATATGTGCATATGTCTATATGCACATATGCATATATTTTTGTAGAGATATAGATTTATATATAGATATATAGATATATAGATTATAAATATAGAGATACATAGATACACAGAAACAGATATATAGAGATATATATATATATTCAAGTTATCACGAGTCATCCAATTGGCAATTGAGTCATTGACCCTCTTTCGCCTTTCGGTCTCCTCTCCCTTTCTCGACTTCTCTCCCACTCTCTCAACCCCCCTGTGAGAAGGCTTTTAGTCTCTCTCTCTCTCTCTCTAAAGTGAGAGAGAGAGAGTAGAGTATGTAGTAGAGAATTTCATTTGTGCCGCTCTACTCTAGAAGTTCTCTACAAGAGACAAAACTCAAAAAGTTGAAGTATGAAGCATGAAGTATGAATTCATGACTCGTGTAATATTGTCATTTGTTTGTCAAACCAGTATTTACAAAGTTGTGTAAAACAATAGATAATTAGATACGCATAACACAGCTGATTTATTATAACCAGACACACGTGTACAATTATGCTTAGCGCGACCTATTTACTACATTTGGTTGTACTTGCTTTTGAAGAAAAAAAAGATTGATCCTTGCGACTTCCTACGTCCGAGTCTCCGATCAGGTTTGAGGTTCACAACGATAGTCCGATCGGCTATCAGGCATTTTTTAATGATTGTATTCTCTCTCTCCTTCTCTCTCTCTCTCTATGTACAATTGTACAGTTGTACACACTACACAGTCTACTAGCAGTAGTAGTAGAGAGAGAGAAGAGCGTCTATGTACAACTCTACACTCTACACAGCTACAGTCTACACTCTACACAGCTACAGTCTACACTCTACACAGCTACAGTCTACAGTCTACACTCTACACAGCTACAGTCTACACTCTACACTACATCTAACCTCATTACGTTTCCCGTTAAAACGCAAGTAAATAAATAAGCGTTTACGTTAAAAGTTTATCCTAAATATAGTCGTATAGGTTTACAAATAGGTACATTTTTTTGAGGCGGTCTAACTGTCACGAATTGTCCTATTTTTCACTTTGTGTCAGTTGTGAATAGTTTTTAATCGCCTTTTCATTAAAAAAGGACAATTTCTCAGGTGCAAATTGTGAAAAATTTCGTGGTCGATTTGCCCCCGATATACTTTTAAAATGCTTAAAAAACAATACTTTTTGCGTTTACGTTTAAAGATTATAGCATATAGGCTACTCTCTAGAGTAGAGTAGAATAGAGAGAGAGAGACTCTAGTACTACTCTCTAGAGTAGAGTGAGAGAGTCAGAGAGAGAGAGAAACGTATGGTATGATATGCATATAAATATTAAAATGATAAAATCATGATTCAAATACTGTGAATGTGTGTATTTACTATTTACCTATGAGAGCTCACTGCACAGACTCTGCGGCCCTGCACAGTGCACACTTCTTGCAGTGTTGCAGGCTGCTCATGCTGCAATAAAAAACTTGCACATTTAGACTGATGAGTTTATACTATTTTGGGTCTTTTGTTTTAAGAAAAGTGATGGAAAGTGATGACATACAGTACGCGTGAGATATATAAACAAAAATACGTCGAATCTTACTCCATTAGCAAATTCTTGGGTTTTAACACCCACCCATTTTTCAACCTTTCATAGTTTCATACATAGTCTCAAGTCTCAACAGTCAACAGTCAACACTGTCAACAGTCAACAGTCAACTATTTACAATAGAGAGCTCCATTAAATAAATGGTAGAGGGCTCTCTAGTTACTCTCTCTCCCTATGTAGACTACTCTAAATACTAATAGAGACTGTAGGGAGTTAGGGACTAGAGAGAGTGGAGAGAGACTGAGAGAGAGACTGAGAGAGAGAGAGAGAATCACAGTTGCCTTTTTTGTAAAGTTTTGTTTAAAAAAGTTTGTTTTTGAAAACAATAGAATATACAGCTGCCGCCGCAACTTTTTGACCCACAAGAGGATTTGGTAGAAAAATATCTATATTATATAAATATTATATACAGCATACCTACAATTGTCACGCCACAGTTCAAAACTAGTTTGAACAGTACAAACCACACTATGATATCTAAGATTCCCGCAGACACCCATGTGCGGAACGACTCCATCCGCCAAGGCATCACAAAGAAGCGCGTAGAAGACTTTGCCAATGCAGGGCCGGTTGATTGCATCATAATTGGGAGTGGTTTATCAGGCCTCACTACAGCTGGTATGCTATCACGCGCTGGTTGGCGTGTAGCTGTATTGGAACAGCATGATGTAGCTGGAGGTACTACACACCAGTTCGTAGAGGAGGGCTTTGAGTTTGGGACGGGTTTGCACTACACAGGAGATGTACTTCCGAGGAGTACGCTTATGGATGCGCTCACTGATGGGAAGCTGAAATGGGCTGAAATGGATGCTGAGTATGACCACTGTGAGCTCATGGGCAAAGATATAGATGAGGTGAAGGACCGCTTAGTGTTTACTAAGGGCTTCCGCAAGATGCGCGATAGACTGCACAAGCAGTTTCCTGAGGAATGTATGTGTGTAAGATGAGGCTTTTCCTTCGTGCGTACTTTTTTTGTGTTACATTACCATTACAGGGTATGAACTGCTTTTTTAGTGTGTATAGTTGCGAACTTTCAATATCTTTACGCGTGTATGTCTACGTATTTCCGTCGTGTTCACTCAAGTGAGAGAACGACTTAACAATATTTTGTGTACAGCAGTTGTTGTAGTAGAGATGGTCTATCAACTATGATACACTTCTGGGCCACCCTTCAATATCTCGCTACTTGCTCTTGTACGCCAATATAACCATGTAGCTGAGCACTGTGGCTCATACTACATAACTTTAGATGTAGGCTGGAGTACGCAGATAATTTAACCGGTCAATTCCCGGGCGGTGTACCTTCTTGTACGATGCCAATATCTTATTGTGTTCAGCTATGCCTGTATATGGTTTGCATGTCGCAGTTGTGTAACAAATATGATCGAGTACTCTGCGGGTCGCATATTCTTAACGTCTACAAAACGCAGTAAATCCCTATCTACCCCATACTACTCGGTCCCACTCTCCTTCTATACATGTCACACACTATACTTATATATATCACGTTTCTACTGCTGTGTACGAATTGTCGCCTCAATCCCCTACCACCAAGTATGTCGATTATTAATATCCCAAAGATGGTCGACTTTTGCACCTGTATATACAGGCTCGTACAAATTTCTGGCTAACACTATCGTAACTTGATTATCCATACTTACACAGGAGAAAGAAGCCATCAGCCGCTACTACAAGGAGTGCTTCAAAGCACACGCGGCAATGGGCCCTATCGTACTCAGTAAGATACTGCCGGGATTCATGGTGTCTCTGCTGAGACCTCTGCTAGACAGATGGTACCATTCCGCACAGAACAAGACCACCCTGGAGGTGATGCGGGACTGCGGGCTTAGCGATGATCTGATTGGCAAGCTCACGTTCACGTAAGTATGCTCATGCTGCGTGTGTACACATACCGTCTTTTCGTCCAGGCACATACGCACAGGTTTAAAGTTATTGGCTGCAATAGAGTATGTTGTAGTCAGCTGTTTGGCGATGTATGGATGGACGTTCCTATATTTAGTGATCTCAGTTTGAAGTCCTCTACACTCTGAGTTTGTGTGAGGAAGATGCTCTGGTTACATTCTATTGAGTTCAAAGGAACGTTGTGTTAGTTGCAATACATATTTGTCAGTCAGATGCTTGTCATTGCTTGATAAAGCATACCTACTTACCGTCTTATACTCTTGTAACAATCTGTCACATCAGGTATGGTGACTTCGGGACAACGCCAGATGAATCGCCGTTCATGGTGCAAGCGATGCTGACGTGCCACTGGTACGTGCCTTTGAGATTTGTATATGTTAATACATCAGTATATATATATATATATATATACAATATATATATATATATATATATATATATACAATATATATTTATATATATATATATATATATATATATATACAATATATATACAATTTATATACATATATATATATATTTATACATTATATATATATATACAATTTATATACATATTTATACATGCACACACACACGCACACACACGCACGCACACGCACACACACACACAAATATATATACATATATATACATGTATTCAAATTACATATATGTGTATGTATATATATATATATATATATATATATATATATACATATTCATGCATATTTATGTATTCAAATATATATATATATGTATATATATTTATCTATGTATATGTGTATATATATGTATATATGTATATATATATATATATATATATATATTTGTATACATACACACACGTATATATATATATATATATATATATACTGGCTCCATATCACTGCTGGCATTTTGCTATTACGTGTACTGCGCTGGGGGCCAGGGTGTGTCAACATATGTGCACTGGCTTGCTGACACATACATATGGTTTGTACCAGTCTGATTATAGTCTATTCCGATCTTGTATTGGTTTGGTCATGATATATTTCAACTACAGTTTTGATCTCGAAAGTTCAGTGTTATAATCACAATACACTACGCACCTACGAATGAAAACCATGGCCACTAAAATCTCAAAATCCAACTCCATCCCCTTCATCAATGTGCTGATCTCGACTCAAAATGCTTACGCAGAGATCTCATCCCTATCTACATATTCACCTCTCTAAACCTCAACAACCCCAAAATAGCTCGAACCCCCCTTTATCGCCTCTAATTTCCACGCCATTGTATCGTAAAAGAAAACATTTAAACGCTTGCTACTACAGGTTTAGAGGTGCGTTTTACCCGGTGGGCGGGCCTGAGCAGATAGCTGCCACCATGGTACCCACCCTGGAGAAGAACGGGTCCAAAGTGTGGGTGAATGCCCGCGTAGAGACCCTCTTATTAAGCGCGGATGGGGCTGTTGAGGGTGTGCGGGTGAAGGGTATGGACATCCCCTGTAACACCGTGGTGTCTAGTGTAGGTGCGCTGAATACCTACATGAAGCTGATGAACGATAAGATGCCATTGCCCAGGCCCGTACAGGACCTGCGCCATGAGCTACGCTCCGCGGAGAAGCTCAAACCCGGTATGAGTATGATCTCACTCTTTGTGGGATTCGAAGGCACCTGTGAATCGCTGCAGTTGCCCAACTACAACACGTGGATGGTATCCTCCTGGGATCACGGGGCCAATATCAAACGCATGAACGAGGAAGGCTTGGATGCTCCGTTTGCTATGATGTACTACGCGTTTAGTTCGGCCAAAGACCCGACCTGGCACGTGCGCTTTCCTAATAAGGTGTCGTGCGAGATTCTGGCGCCATGCTCATACGCGTTGTTTGAGGAGTTCGAGAAGAGCCGGTGGAATAAGCGGACAGACGACTACGAGGCGATGAAGGAGGTGCTTACGGAACGGTTGTTGGATCACATGTTCGAACGGATGCCACACCTCAAGGACAAGCTAGTGCATGTCAGCATGGGGACGCCCCTGACTATTAACCACTTCCTGAACAGCACGCGGGGTGAGGTGTATGCCTTAGACCACACGCAGGAGAGGTTCGACCCCAAATACCAGCAGATGCTCACGGCAAAGACACCCATCACCGGCTTGTACATGACGGGCCAGGACGTGCTGTTCTCCGGGGTTGTGACTGCGTATATGAGTGGTATAGTGACTGTGGCGGCTATGTCGTATAGTGCGTTGCTTAAGAATGCGGACGTGCTCTTCCGGGCTACACCCACTGTGTGGGGCGAGTCGCAGGTCAAGGGAGCGAAGAAGTTCAATATCGTCTGGGTGTTGAGTGTGGTATTCGTGGTGCTGGCGGTTCTTTTGGTATATATGCGATAGGTATAGGCAAGGTAGGCAGCACAGGGTAGGTAGGTGTAAGCAAGGTATAGGGTGGATTATGGCAACCAACAAAGCAAAGCGTTGTCAGACACCCGTCTCAGCAGCTAAGGTGTCACACGAATCCTAGAACCCTAAACCCTCCACGAAGTTTTTGACTTTGGTCTGGAATGTATTTCTGGGAATATATTCTTAGGGCTTCTTCCTGAGCGCTTTTCATGAAGTAGAAGTGTATTGCTTATGTATATGTGTGTACTTACGTATACACATATGATTCACGCAGAAAGTTCGTTGACACAACCACGAGTAATGTGAATGTATGCATATATATATTCAACATACTAAGGTCGGGTCTGCTATAGACGATAAGGGTTCGTAAACATACTTAGTTAAATAGCACCTGTTGAACAAGCTTGGGCTGAGTACAGGGACATGGCAACGATATAGGGCATACAGATGAACAATCACCTCCATGCCCAAACTCACAAAGTATTAAAGAGAATAAAGCAGTATGTCAAGTCACATGAACGCTTTTTTGACACTATGAATAGCGAGATATTGTATTTTATTATATTACATTATAGACATATAATTTATTATATTATATTATATTGTTATATTTGAGCTGAGCATACGGCATAGTTGCGATTGACGTTTCAGAAGTGTTAGCAGGGATAAGAAGTCGAGCCCATCATGCACACAGTATGTATCAAGTGTATAAGTTTGATACGTTTAAGCCTTGGAAAACCCCTCGATTTCTCCGCAGTTTTTCTTATAATCAAAGTTGGACCTATAAGTAGTATGGTTTGATGCCCCTCCCGAGATAGTAAGAGAGTTTAGGTGATGATGGCGAGCGAGCGGGCGTGTGCGAAGAGTGTGCGAAGAAGACCCTCCACCACACATCACAATACAATAACCTCTGCTTCGTCAATGAGGTCTGGTGATATGTGGAATTGAATTAACGTACAGCGCCTGTGGCATATTTCTGATGCGAAATACGGATGTTGACGCCAATCTGCGTGTGCCGAGATCGACGATTTCCCACGTTTTGGTGTGGTTGCGGGTAGGTCAGTGTTCTTGTATACAGCCTTGTAGAAGGCATATCGAATCATACGAATGCTTAAAGTGTTCGTATTGTGTACGCCACATGATGGGCACAGCTTTCATTATATATAGTCAAATTGAGTAACAGATATATTAGACCGTATGTCTGTGTTTGGTTCTGCAAGTTACAACTAGTACGTCAAAGTTGTACACGAGATTTTGTGTGGTAAGTAGTCTATTTGTCCTTTAAATTGACCGGATCCGGTCAGTATAATTTGTGAGCTTTTTGTTCGTGTAGTTTTAAGTAAGTCACTCTTGATATTTGTGTACGTAGAGCGTGTACTTCACAAGCGGGTTACTAAACTGGGATTGAGATTAGTAGTATTGATGGACGTTGACCATAGATCGGAGCCGGCTATTACAGTGAGGTTGCCCGATTTCCGGACGTGATGTATAAGTCAACATTCATTTAATGTGCTGAGATCGGGTACATGCTTTCTGGTACACTCAAGTTCGGTTTGTAAGCCCTCAAATTGGATTCCATCATATTTTTTTTGATCGGAGTCGTCGGTTAATGTAGTGCGTTTACTACATATTTCTGACATGGTTCTGCAAGTCTTCGAAGTAAGGGTGCAGCAGCGCCTGCTTGGCTGACATTCGCTTAGCGGGGTCGAGCACCAGTATTTTCTGGAATAGAATACGTGTTGTACGTAAAGTGGGAGGGAGAATGACAGGTGTGAGTTTGCGGACCTATACAGGATCGTTTCGGGTCTAAAAGTTTGAGAACGACGTACGGGACATATAATAGAAGGGAGATTACTGGTATAAGCTTCAGTACCCAGATAAAATACTTTAAGCTGATAACTATATAAGATTCTTAAAAAAAAAAGGTTGTTCCTGTATACAAGGGACGGTACCAGTATGAATATTTGTATTCAAGCAAATGGCCTTTCTAGAGATTGTTTCGGAAGTAGGCGAGAATATACTGTAGTACATCAGGCGGTCTAATACATCTACATACACTCAAGTTTTGAAAGGAGTGTGTGCTTATGTATGTTCTCGTAGTATGGAAGCAGTACGAAAACAAAAAACTTCTAAGGTTTGTATAAAAGAGGAGATACATACTGTCATAATCCTGTGAATAAATACAGGATCATGCTTCAGACTAACAAGTAGACAACAATCTAGCATTTCGAGCATAGACACACTACACAAGCATCACGATAAGCTTTGCATAGCCACGCTGACTAAATCGATTAATTCGAACCCATACACAATGCACAGACATGGTACTCCACATCCTAGCTCAAAACACGCAGGCATAATCGACTTCTGAGGACTCAAGACACACCTCTAGCAGATCGACACCTAGAGGGTCTAGGTTCTTGACCACATTGGTGATTGGTTTGGGTTTCAGCTTAGGGAATTTATCGTTGTAGTCAGGCAGTTCCGATACGCTAGGCCATGTTTTGGGCGTGGGCGTACCGAATTGTCTGTAGGTAGGTACAAGTAAGCGCGAAGTGAGTTTACAAATACAAGAACGGGTAAACGTATATACCATGTGTATATGTATATATGCGAGCAGCGGTACGGTTATGGCTATCTGTGGTGTCAAGAAGCATTCCTAGTATAACACAACAGGCGATCAACATACACGATGAGAAACGCCCCCACGCACAACACATATCACGAAAGATAGATCCTAATAACAATGAGACACGGGATAGCTATCACACGTACACCGTACAAGACATACGAGAATATCTTGATGATCTGGTCGATTTC